GGTGAAAAGGCCGTTTTGTCTCTGTGCTGATTTATGCTGACTGGTATAGTAAAAAGCCATGGCCAAAGACATCAACAGTAGTAATTTGAGCAGGAACTGGGTGGTAACTACATTCAGAGCCACTGGTTGAATTCTGTTGTAAATTGACAGGGCCGTACCTTGTGAATGTGTCCCAGAGCCATCCAAGCTCTGGTATGTTCCTGGGGCTGAATCTCCCTCCTTATAGAATCATAGAATCGTTATGGTTGGAAGAGACCTCAAAGGTTATCAAGTCTGACCGTCTACCCAATGCCACCATGCCCACTAAACTGTGTCTCAAAGTGCCACGTCTAAACGTTTTTTGAACGCCTCCAGGGATGGAGTGTTCACCAGTCCACCACCTCCCTGGGGAGCCTGTTCCAATGTTTAATGACTTTTACAGTGAAGAAATTCTTCCTAATACCAAACCTGAGCCTCCCCGGGCAGAACTTGAGGCCGTTTCCTCTTGTCCTGTTGCTAGTTACTGGGGAGAAGAGACCAACCCCCACCTCATTACACCCTCTTTTCAGGTCGTTGTAGAGGGTGATCAGGTCTCCCCTCAGCCTCCTCTTCTCCAGACTAAACAACCCCAGCTCCCTCAGCTGTTCCTCATTAAGACTTGTTCTCCAGGCCCTTCACCAGCTTTGTCACTCTTCTCTGGACACGCTCCAGCAGCTCCATGTCCTTCTTGTCATGAGGGGCCCAAAACTGAACACAAGATTCAGGGCGCAGCCTCACCAGCGCAGAGTACAAAGGGACGATCACTGCCCTGGTCCTGCTGGCCATGCTGTTTCTGATACAAGCCAGGATGGTGTTGGCCTTCTTGGCTACCTGGGCACACTGCTGGCTCATGTTCAGCTGGCTGTCGACCAACACCCCCAGGTCTTTTTCCGCTGGGCAGCTTTCCGGCCACTCTTCCTCAAGCCTGTAGTGTTGTATGGTGTTGTGACCAAAGTGTAGGACCTGGCACTTGGCCTTGTTGAACCTCATACAACTGGCCTAAGTCCATCGATCCAGCCTGTCCAGATCCCTCTGTAGAGCCTTCTTACCCTTGAGCAGATTCTTCTCCCATCCTCCACAGATACTCACACACACACACACAAAACCAACCCACAAACCATGAATGAGGTGTTTCTGAGAGTAAAGGTATGGAAAAATGCATTATGTTGCCTGTCAGCCTCTAGACATGTTTTCAGTGACAGCCCGTGTACCCTGTCTTTGCAGAGGGGAGAAGATAAACTGCTGTGTCGGAATTGGCCCTGTGCTGTCCTGGATCTGGGCAAGCTCAGAGTTTGAAAATTTACCTTTCGCACAAGCTCAATAGACACTTGATCCTGCTTACAGTCCAACTCTTTAACCAAGGAGTATTTAACCACATTTATTTAAATGTATAATAGTTAAGGGAAGCTTGTATGATTCTGCAAGTATTCTAGCACAAACAGGCTTCTTATGCTTTCAGAAGAAAACTAAAGGAGTTGTTAGATACTTTCTTGAAGCAGTTGAGAGTTTTGGATGGTTGGGCAGAACCCAGACCCATCTTCTAAATAAGCTGCTTTTTGTTCCCAAGGTCCTGAAATTATGCTGGAACAAGAAAACTGAAATAAAATGCATAGTATCCTGAAATTAGACGAGCAGTTTAAAAACAAATTAGCTAGTCATTCCTCTAAAGGCCGGGCAATGTGAATATGCCAGTTTGCTATGCAATAGCAGTGAGTCTTAAATTCAAAATCCTCCTACAGCAAACATCCTTTCCCCCAAAGTACAGGACAGTTCTCACGAGCAAAGCAAAACATGTTTTAATGAAATGAGTTTGCTGGACAGAACTATTCCATAATTACTAAGCAGACGATGCTGTGATTAGGTCTCATTATCACAAGGAGTGACTTGTTCTTGAGAAACTCTCTTTATAGGTGCAGTTACTTCATGGCATATTGTCTTACTGAATCATTCAAGTCCGCTAGTGCTCTATTAGAAGAAAAAGAGCTAGTTCTGTTGGTTAGAAACTGAGAGAAATAATTCAAGAACTTTCGTTTTCACTTTTCCGTATCTTCTGCTTTCTTTTACTCTTACCATACATTAGTATCAGAAGTGACTGGAAATAGACCTGATAACATTTAGTGGAGCTTTAAAAGTCTTCAACTTTTGTCTTCACCCTGGTGACATCTGGGTACTCATGAAGTGGAAAAGTTTTTATAATAATGCAGCAGAGTTTTGCCCCTAAATATTTTTCTAGGAAGATGGTTATTTATGCATCCCCACATGTTGAATGAGTGTTTACATTTTTGGAAAGTTTGTAGAATTTGAAGCTTTAATCTGAAAGAGCATCCTCTAATCGTAGAGTCTTCTCTAGGGACTTTGCTGTGGCTCATTTATTCTGTTTAGAATGGGCACGATACGGTGCTGCTGGATGGCAGTATGAATATCTAAGATGGAAAGAAAGCTGCAAGACCCTAAAGACAATAATGTCTTAGAAATGCATAGAAGCATATGGCAGATTTTTTTTTTATCGTAGTAACTTGGTGATTTTGGCTTCCAGTATTCCCAGAGCTCCTCCTGGGGAATATTCACACCACCATGTTTTAGGATTGCAACCAATATAACCATATTGGAATGCTGATCTCCATAGGCTTGCTGTATAGACTGTCTGTACCCCACTCACAGGGAGGTAGAGGAAGAGCAGCTGCTCCGGGGAACTATTTGATGCATCTCAGCTTAAGCTTCTGTTCCATGCCACATCCTGGACTTGCCTCAGTCCTCTCCTTTTCCCGTCATCTGTGAAGGCAGCTGAGGAGTTTTTTTTAACGAGGAACCACGTCTGTGAACTTGAAATGGCATACCTTGTGTTAGTTGGTAGGAACACCTTTTCTGTGTGTCTTGGCATCTCTGCAATGCAACAGTTAGGAACAGGAGAAAAAAAATTGTATGTTAATTCATTGTAAATAGAAGTTTCTCTAAAACTGCTAAGGACTCCAAAAATTTTGTAGTTTTAGAAGATATTAATAGGAAGACTAGATGGATGAATACAAGTCTAAAGATGTATGAAAAATTCAGTTTTCATCACCAGAGAATGATTTATAAATTAGGTCTCTTCACTTTGTATGTGGAGAGCTGAGTTTCATGTAATTTTCTAAAAGAAATTTTTTAGTAATTGTCAGTGCAGTTACAAGAGAGAAGAAAATACAAATAACATGGCAGCATTGTATTAAAAAACCCAAACAAACAGGAAATCTAAGCTTTCATTTTTATTAAGGAATTTTATATCATTTTTACATTTTAAAAATGTCAGATCAAAGCAGTTTTCGTGTATCCAAAAAGCCACAAAAAACCAATTTGCAATAATGTTCACTTTTTCACTTCTTCCTAATTCAGGTAAAGCACAAAGCATTCTTAACCCCATTTTATGTATTTCTTGACTTCCTTTTCTCGGTAGTGATTCTGCACCATGAAATAGAGATAAAGCAGAAGGGGGAGGGGGTGTCTATGCCTGAAGGTAGTACGATCTCTGGAAGAAGGTCATGTGGGTAATAACAATTTTGTTATATTTTCCATTTGATTATGATTTCTTTATTCATTCTGAAACATTATTGTTCAGTAAAATAAGCCATCTATATACAAACCTAAATTTCCAACTGTTTGTAAATAATTTAAAGAGGAGAAAATCCCAATGTGATGGTCTGTAACAGGATTAAGATTTCACTGTCGCTGGATTTATTTTTTTTTTTAATTTGCTTTTATCACTTAAGTTTTTTTAATTTCCCTTTTACATAAGATATCTGTAGTTTGGCATTTGGAGTGATAATGGTGATTTGGCAAGGAGATTGCATCCAGTTTTATATTACTTTTCCATGGCATTGTTGTAAATGTTTTACTGTAGGAGGTATGCTTTGCAATCTTGGAAGAGTGGTTGGTGCAGCAGTTGTATGCACTTGTGTTTCAGTCATTTGAGGAACTTTCATTTGGTTAGCTTTCATCTTTTGAATTTGAGAGCACTTAAGCTGGTTCTTAATAGGTTTCGGAGGTACCCACAGTTCGGGACCAGAAGAATGTCCTAATCCCTGAATTTGCTGACAAAACACGTTTGGAAACCTGAACTGAGAAATCAGTTTTAGTTGCTGAAAGGGGACTTCACGGAAAACATTGAAACTCTCAAAAATCACTTCCTTACAGAAATATGAGAGAATGACACAAAAAAAATCACAGCTTCCCTGCTTCTGAGAAGAGGGTGTTCAGGGAGTGAGAGATGAGAAGGTACACTGTACTCATCTGACAGTCTCAGCCTTTTTAGAAACTTTTGTATTTCTGTCTTGCTGCAAAGAGGCTGCCAAGGATAACATGTTTAAGAATTATCCCATCGTGTAGTGGTTATTTATTGGAATCTTCATGCCTGCAATAGTTAAATCATGCTTGGCAGCAGTAGAACATGAGAAACTCAGTCCAAAATCAATTAGCATGTTTTACTAGTGTAGAATAAACTTCAGAGTTAATGGGAGTTACCCATTATCATTAAGATCCTGATTTTCATCTCTATTTTCATCTCTGTTGAATGTGCAGATGTTCAGCAGAAACTAGTGGGGTTTGGGGGCACATAATGTCTTTGCAAACGGTGTGGGCAGAGATTGGGGGCTGGAGCTGACCACGCTCCCTGTGTGCTGGGGGCACAGCACAGAGGCCGGGCACCTAACCCTGAGAGTGCAGGGGAGCAGCTCACGCAGTCCCTCTTTCTCTGTATGGAGGTGCAAAAGCATTTGCCTTTTGTTCTTCCCTGGTCTGACACTGTGTCAGTTTGGAGTCATCACGGAAAATGGATGTTGTATTGTGCTGCCAACTGAGGCCTTTCCCTCTCCTCCTTCATTCCCTCTGCCTTGTAGATTCAGCAGTGTGATTTAATGTGTACTTTAAAAATGCAATGGTTTAAATTGTAGGTTGATATGCAAATAGTTAGCAATGGCATGCTTATTGTGACATTTTATTCTCTTTCCTAGTGTAAAACTCTCTCTGGCGTCTGTGATCACATTATCTCGCTCTCTTCTGATCCACTGGTTTCCCAGTCTGCCCACCTTGAAGTGATCCAGCTCACAAACATCAAGCCAAGTGAAGGGCTGGTAAGAAGTACGCAGTTAATCAAACCCATCATCCAGGATGAGAAAGTGATTTTTCTTTTTATATATAACAATAAGTTGTATCTATGTAAAGGAATAGGACATTTTAGCCTTTTCTATTTTAAAGTCTGAAAATAGTTCAATTTCTTGGCTAGTTCGGTTTCTCATGCAGCTGGGCCAATAGGGAAGTGTTTTGTAAGGCTGACTGATGTATGCAAAGAGTTTAGTGAACAGGGAGAAATGGGCGAGAAGTTCTTGCCATTTATACCAGCTTCTGAAAAATGGTTCAGATTGTTCTAGGATGTTGAAATCTGAAGGGATTTAAATTACTAAGATCAACTCAACCAAGAATTTTGCGTGGGCTTATGCACAAAACCTGTCAAATTCTGGAATATGCTTCATAGTATCTCTGGGATATAAAGCTATTTTATAAGTTATTCAAGGGCTCTACAGAACTGCTGAGAAGTAGCTTATTGAATTTCATTGCAAGAACTCTCCATGCTTAATCAGGTGCTTGTAAAGACTCAGTGCAGCCATCCTATGTTTGTTACTCAAGAGTTGACCACTGATCTTTGGTTTACTCAGGTATCCAACACCCACTGCATGAAAAAAACCCAACACTGATAACAGTTTTACATCACTAATAATATCTCTTCCCACAATCCTTGGAGGTAGTAGAAAATTACCAGAATTCACAGAATACAGTTAACCATTTTTTGCCCAATGAAATAGCTTTTGCAACTTCTGCCCAAGTTTATTCTCATTCCATTTTCTTGAATAAGAAGGACTACTGCTGTACTCTTTGCAGCAGGTTTTTGAAGTTGTTTGGATGGTGTATTTTTGGAGAGTATTTCGGTTTGTGGGTTGGTTGTTGCTTGGTTTTGGTTTGTTTTGGTTTTTTTGATTTTTTTTTTTTTTTTGGGGGGGGGGGTTTGTTGTTGTTTTGGTTTTGTGGTGTTTTTTTTTTTTTTGACAAATTTAGTATGCCAAAGTATTTAGAGCAATTATACGCTGAACTAATTTTCTATTCTTTTGGAAAATCACAATTAAAATATGAGAAAAAACCCAGACATTTGGATGAGTAAATATTGCCCCATCCTTTGTTTTATCCTGCTATTTGTTTTCCTGTCCTCCACTGGCTCTTTTTTTGATTTCTGAATCCATTTCAAACTAATCCTCCAGGATTTCAGCTTTTCATGGATTCTTTCCTCCCTCTCTTTCTCCTGTAATTTTAACTCTTCCACCAGCTCACTGCAGTCAACCGTTTGAAAGCCTGTCTTCTATTGTAATGAAGAAATCTTCTTCCCCTTTCTCTTGATCACCTTTTTTGGAGTTCTGTCCATTTTTATCTGAACTTTTATTTCTTTTCCTTTCTGTCATGCCCCCCCCCCCCCCCAAGTCTTTGTGTAGGGTGGTGTTAATCCCCAGTGACTGAAAAATGTCGAGTGGTATTTTCGTAAATAAGGATGTGTTTCATGGGTCTGTTCCTGCTGGGTAGCTGATGAGATAGAGAATCTCTTCCCACTCTCTGCCTGTGTTTCACACCTTCTGTCTGTCTTGTCTGTTTAAACTGGAAGCTCTTGAGGCAGGGCTTTTTCTTTTAATATGTGTTTGAGAACCAACTGAACAGGGTCTGGATGCTGACTTGAGGACTACCATGTCATTGTCATAAAAATAATCATATGTATTTTTAAAAGATGGAAGATACCAACTGTGCAGATAAAATGCTATTTTGATGGAGTCGTATTTTTTTCCCCTTCATCCTCACCTGTATGCCACTATTCTGTTGCCTCTGTATTGTGCTGCCTCCTCTAGACTGTGAGCTCTCCAGAGCAGGCACCAAGGATGATGTATTTGCGCCGGAAGTGGGAATATCATACCTTTCCGTTTCTTACAGTGCCAGTCCTACTGACAGAGCATCTTTGTCAGGTTGCTCTTGGTGCTTTATATGAAAGCTTTGCTTTTGGGTTGTTGGGCTTTTGTTTTGTTTGTTAAAGTAATATCTTTCAATTAAGATAGAGTGAATGCATATCAGTACCACCTGTTGAGTGCTAAGTGTGTCAGTGTAAGAACTGATGGTGGAGCTTGGAGTTATTAATATCCTCTGCACATCAGGAGTACTTGGATGAATGTGAAGCTTGATAACTTCTGGACCTTCTTCCAGGATTTGTGCAATGATGGAGATGGAAAAATGGATTATTATTAACTTTCTTCTAGATCTTTGACCCACATGACAGTTCTGTGCTGGCTGTACCATCACTAAATAAAGTCTTCCATAAAGATGGAAAGACTTCAAGTAGAAGGAAAAGGACAAGGATGGCTTCTAACTGGGAAGATTTTTTTGTCATCTAGAATATCTAACATGTCTCAAATTTAATATCTAAGAAGCTAAAGTAGATCAGGGAGAGGAAAAAAGAAAGGAGAAGAGAAGGAAATAAAAAGCTTGGAAAACAATGCTGTTTCCTTGAACTCATATGGTAAATATATGATGGCATTGCAAAAAATGATTGGAGTTTCTACAACTTCAAACAGATTGGAGTGCTCTCAGGATGTTTTAATCAGCACAAATAGTTCCTTCACTATGTTTGATCTTTTCCTGTGGAAACGTAAGTATCAGTCAGAGGTAAATGTAAATTGTCAGACTAATATCTTAATGCAGAAGGAACAAGTAAATGTGTTGCAGGGTTTACAATGTCTTATAGATATCAAAATTATCTAACACCCATCAGAAAAATAGACTAAATAACCTGACAAGCAGAAAATGCTGTTAGGGTTTGATGTGGGGAACCTCCTGTGTACTGGGTAAAGCAATGTTATGGGTGGTTTTTGGTATTGCAGTTTTTTTTTTTCCTTTCCCCCACCTCTCTATCCCTGCTGTGTTGCCCAAGTGTGTTACGGGACTGGCTGCGTACATGTGTTCTCTAGTGAGTGTTGCTGTGGGAAGAGGTACAGCCTACAGTGGCTGGGAAGTAAGGGTGAAAATGGAGTTGTCTGGGTAGAAAATTACTGAAAAAGCCCTAAAATGGATTAATGTGGTTGGCTTTGCAATCACCAGCATGTTCCCATGCGTAATCACTTTTTTTTTTTCTTTTGAGGATTTGGAAGTTGTTTCATCTGTATCAGTAAGCAGAATTTAATTTTGTGGTTTTTTTACACTACTGATGTTCTAGAAAGAGACAAAGCTGACTAGCTTAGGTAGTATCTTTTGCCAGGAAACAGACTTAAAAATATTGCTGCTTGACTGAAAACAGTGAGTGTATTTAGCAAAGAAGCAGAATATGGTACACTTTTTGTTTAGGCAAAAGGTAGATAACCAAGTTTTCCTTGGGAAGTTTTTCTTCAACAGCCTCTTTCTATTTTATCTTTATTTTAAATATAGAATAGAGTATCAGAGAACTGTGGCAAGAGTTAACCTCAAATTTCAATATTTTTTTTTCCTGTTCATATTACCATTTTAATCCCAGTCAGTTCAGGTACTGTGATATGATTTCAAGTTGCAGCTATTCACCTACCTTGCTAGATTCAGAAGTGCGAAGGTGAATTCACCAGAACATGAGACTGATTGTTCTGGGTTGTTCTTTGCATGCTGAAGCAAACACAAAATGAGCCTGTCATGCAAAAAAAAATCGCTCCTAAAGTACAAGTCACAGATACAGCAGGATGTGGCAGCTGATTAAAGGTGCATTGCTGACTCCCTGGCTAGAAAGTATTTCCCAGGAATGCAGTGTACTACTGTTCCTAATATTTTTCCTGAGTTATTTGGTTTGAAATACCAGAGTTGCTGGGAAAAACTTATGAACCCGGTTCTGAGAACTATTTGGGATTAAAGAGGCACGTGCAACTTTGGAGGACTCCATTAAGATGATGTCACAGTGAAAGAGTGAAAATTCAGTTATGTGTGTGATAAAACGAAATTAGTATCTTCTTTTCTTTTCCATCCAGCATTGCATAAAATACGTTAGAAGTATATCAGATTCTGTTTTCATTCTTTAATAAAAAAAAAAGAGAGGGACAAAAAAAAGAAAAAAGGCACAAGGTCTCTTTTCTAACCATTAACTCAAAAATAGTTCACACCAAGATAAAATGTAATGATTGGTTTGAAACTAGACTTCTACAAATAACTGATCAGGACAATCTCTGATGTAATTAAGCATGAGTTACCCGATCTTTAATCTAGGCATGCATTTGTTCTTGATTACT